CTTCCCTGCTGGCCTGCGTCGTTACAATACCCGACAAATTGATCAGATCACTCATCTACTCAATGCCAGAGCGACTCAAAGCCTGCATCAGAGCACAAGGATATCAGACTAAATACTGAGAATAAGCGCAATAATCTATCAAGTCAGATCTACTTTTCACCTCATGGTTGTTGAGAAAAAGCATTGTGAACGTTCACTCAAAGCTGAGATGGTGGCCTGTGCGCAACTGCGCGAACAGACTTTTGTCCTGTGACTGTAGCGGCACGAACGGCTGGGTATCGCACGTGAGGCGTAGCGTTGCACTGGGTATTATCTTCGCCTCAGCAGGGCCACAAGTGCGCCGTACATTGTTGAAACACTGTTTTTGTGAAGGCAGTTGATGAGATATTCGACGATCTGAAGGCGCAGAACAAGAAAGAGGCAAGGTTGAAATCATGTTTGCTCTTTCAACAATGACTTGCACAGACCGGCGCTAAAATTGCACGCCCCAGCCAGGGTCTCGCGTTCTCTCATCTTCCAACCTCAACCACCGTGCCGGGTCAAGCCATCTGTCGATCTCGACGAAGCTGGCTGAGACTTCATGCTTCGCAGTCACCTGTGAACGTAATAGCCTTTCCATGGCAACACTTCTGTCTGACATTCACGGCCGCCCACACATAATGCTTCTCGAACAAACAGGTTGAGGAGTGGCTTGGCTTACAAAGTGTCTCAACTAACAAGCTACGCTCTACTGAATGCTGTAGGTACAATCTGCCAAAAACAACCATTCCAACATTATGGTGTCGCTCCACGCCTTCTCATCCACAACACGTTCCCAACTATTCGGATCCTTATAACCGCCAATTCCCTTGTACGCATTTCGATAAGGCCAGCGGCAGTGTCTCTTCTTGAAGTCGACTCCAGCACTCTGGCTACCGTTCTTGTACGCCGTTCCAGTAATAGTCTCCGGCGCGATGCTCTCTTCCACCCACCTCACAATTGCCGTCAGAACGTTCTCTTCAGGATCCAGACTCGCTGTGTTCCGCCGTTGGTTCCCAATGAAGGTCGCCCTTGGTCCACCGCCACAGTGCACCATCCCTGAGATTCGGAAGTACTCGTAGAACTCATCGAGCGCTTTTGAGTCCAGGTTCATGGTCTGCGACACATGCTCGTAGTAGCGTGGCGAATTGTCGCACGAGATGATAGCGTCCACGAGACCGTGGTAGTGTAGTACTTTTCCACCTCGGTCCTTGAACGCTGAGAGGCCGCCATCCCAGGTCCCGATGTTGAAGAGGTTCAGATCTGCCGAGAGATGGTAGTCTTCTGGCTTGAGGCTGAGGGGATCCCTGTAGGAGTTGTTGTAGATAGCATATGAGAACCAGTCCGCTGCAGCAAAATGCTGCCCACTGAAGTACGTGAACGGCGCCTCGGTAGCCTCAGCACCCGGCTGCAGACGAGGGTACACTACACTGTCATCAGTGGCATACAGCGGAGAGAAGATACTGCGAACGGTTTTCGCCTCGGTGGATGTAAAACACGATGAGTTTGACCTGGAGAGTACAGGAGCCCGCTTGGATCGTAATCGCAAAGGTCTGCCAACTCGAAAATCTCATCAGCTACCCCATCAACTTCATCGCACTGCTTCAGAATATATTGATGGATGGTTGGCCACATGTTCAGGGGAACGAACGTCGGCGCGCCCTCAGTCCCTATAAGAGGGAGGAAGTGGAAGCTCCAAGACGTGAGATTGTTGAACGAGCACTCCATCGAAGTCTTCCATCCATGTCGTCCGCCCGTGGAGCATCCGAGATAATAGCTCTTGTTGTGCGATTTGCCATAGAACGTCTTGCTGGTCTCTTTGCCCAACACCACGCCTGTGGGCAGCGCACGATACGCAAAATCCTCGATCATGTCCGTGTTGTTGAGGAGTGAAACGCCAGTAGTACCATCATGCCCATTGTTCGTCCCAACAGCCGCAGATCCCTATAGATCACACGCTTCTTGTGCAGTACTCAGCCATCACTGTCCGCAAAACTGCCGAGCATGCAGGCTCAACATACGTCCTGGATCGACAACAGGCTTTGCGTCCTGCCGAGCACCTTCCGTTCAGGTACCGATATCATGCAGACAATTTGCACTTGCATGTGTTTCCGGGTCTGAAGCCACCACAAACCCAAACTCAGCTGAACATCCGCTTATATGCCATGTCTGCGCTTCATGTAGATGAAGCACCATCATTCGCCGTCTATGGGAGGACTACACGTATCCTCTCTCAGCCAAGCGAACCTTGAAGCCTTTCGCTTCTGCTCCCAAACTCCAAACCATGAGAGCACCCTGCGCAAGTCCCAAAATGTCGCCACTGCGCGAAGTACGTGTTGGCAGGAAGTTCTGCGAGTGAACCATGGCACTGCAAATGTAAAATCACCCATCCCAAACTTCTCCATGGGGTCCGTGTTGAGGCGCCAGTTTTCAAGCCGCAGGAAGCAGCAGCTAAGAACACGCCGTCGCGTGCTTGACAGGACATCAGGCAAGCCTATTTCCTGGCGACCAATCAACTACCCAGGTCTCCGCACCATCCGCGCCCGGACGTGAGCACGGCTCTCCTCTTTATCGCAAACACCATCATGAACCGGTTTCTCTGGTGTTTCGCATGGACTGGATTGCCGAATTGAGGTTATTGACAAATTGGAAGGGGCTAGGGAAGGAGAGGTAAGGCGGTAGTCACGACTTCCCGTTGATGGTGAGAAGTTTCCTTTTGTTTGCGCGTTTGATCACTTGCACTCTTCTTCCTCGTTGCTTTTCGCCTCGTCAATTGTTTGGTGTTGTCGCAGCCGCTTCTCGTCGTCACTTGTTGTCACTCGTTGCACCCTCGTTCGTTCGCCGGCATTCGTCTGAGGTTAATCACAACCACACCCAATCATGCTGCGCTCAATTGCGGCGTGCGCCCTCGCTGGTGCTGCGGCTGTCAATGCGATTGCTACCATCTCAGTCAAGGGCTCAAAGTTCTTCACGTCTGACGGCAACCAATTCTATGTCAAAGGTATGCAGGGTCCTGTCAACATATGCAGCAGCAACTGATGACATCAGGCATTGCGTACCAGCTCGTCCCAGATGACCCGCTCATCGATGCGACACAATGCGGCCTCGACGCTGCTCTCATGAAGACAATCGGCACCAACTCGATTCGCGTCTACCATGTTGACCCTAAAGAGGACCACACCAAGTGCATGAGCGCCTTTGCTGATGCGGGTATCTACATATGGCTTGATCTGGATACCTTCAACACACAGATTGAGCAGACTGAGCCTAAGTGGAACGAGACACAGCGCGATGCTTTCGCCGCCGTCATGGACGAGTTCCAGCAGTACGATAACCTGGCTGGTTTCTTTGTGGGCAACGAAGTGCTCACCACAGGCAACGGCTCTATCGCTGCGCCATACGTCAAGGCCGCTGCACGTGACTTGAAGGCTCACCGCGACGCGAAGAAGTACCGCAATATCCCCATTGGATACTCCGCTGCCGACATTGCAACCCTCCGCCCTATGCTGCAGAACTACCTCGCTTGCGGCAGCAACGCGTCCGAGGCGATCGATTTCTTCTCGCTGAACGCCTACTCCTGGTGCGGCACCAGCGACTACAGGACCTCCGGCTACTACATGCTCGAAGCCAATTCGACCTCCTACAACATTCCCATCTTCCTGTCCGAGACGGGCTGCAACACCTTCCGTCCCCGCACTTTCGAGGATCAGACGGCGATCTTCGGTGACATGGCGGATACCTGGTCTGGCAGCATCATCTACGAGTGGATTGAGGAAGCTAACAACTACGGCATCGTCTCCTACGGCACCAAGGTCGATCCAGCGAGCCCCTCCGCGCCCCCTGATGGCTTCCCCCGCTCCGGCACACCGACACCCGTCAACCCTGACTTTGCGAACCTTAGCTATGTTTGGAAGACGCTGAACCCGACCGGTGTTAAGGAGAGCGCGTACAATCCGACCAACTCGGCGCCTGAGTGCCCCCCAGCGACGAGTGGCGTGTGGGAGGTGAACCCCACTTCTGCGCTGCCGATCCTGGGACAGACATACAATGCGCAGGTCGCTACTGCTACAGCGAGCAGCAGTGGGACCTCAAGGCCCAGTGGCACGGCGAGCGGAAGCGCGGGGCAGGCGAGCGCGAGCAGCACTGGCGGGGCGACGGATGGGCTGAGTCGCGAGTTGACGGGTGCTGGAGCGGCGTTGGCGGCTGTTATGGCTGTGTTCGCGTGGTTGTAGGTTATGAGAAACGAGGCAAAGAGTTTGCGAGCTCTTGATGGAACAATGGGCGGCACGTTGGTACACATATACCCCAGGGTTTTTCAACGCGCATCTGTGAGTTTGAGCATGATAGATAGCGTATAGCATGTAGATCTTGTCTAATTACCTACATTGTCCTGTCCACCTGTAGGCATCAATGGTCCCAGGCGATCTCATTCTGTGCACGTCCAGTGTCCTTTGTAGGACGCTATGCTCACCAAGCCTCATAGCAAGCCCTGCCAAAGGTGATTGCATCTTGCATCTTACCGGCACACGCTCAGCTAGAGCCGTGCCCTTCATGTAGCTCGACGTTCCTGCCCCCTGTTGTCCCTGATGCATTGCATCACAACTCCTTGGGGCCCGAGTACCCGATTGCTGATGACTAGGTACGTGTGGCAAGACGAATGGAAACATGACGTGTGCGAAGAAGGGGGCATATAGCTTGACTGGACACGACGGACAGGAAGTAGACGTCGAATGCACCTTTATTGTACGCAGGCTGCACTTGGTGGCTGGGTCTGTATGCAGGCGTTCACTGGGTGGTGATGCCTCTCTGCGGACGTTCTGGCTAGTCTACTCTTCCTCGCTCTCCTCGCTGCTATCACCCCCCGCCAACCCCTCCATCATCTCCATGTACAACGGATCGTCCTCATCCACCTCCGCCGGGCCGCCGTTCGCCGCGCCGGATACGCTCTTCCTACTATCCTGCCGTGTTGGGGGCCTGGTGTCCATGCGCTCAACATCCTCGTCTTCCTCCTCGCCCTCTGCATCATCGTCACCGCCCAGATCCCCAAAGTCGATCTCATCTGCTTGCGCACCGCGGCGAGGTGTGCCTTCGACGCTATTTGCTGCGCTTGCGAGACTGATGGGACCGTTTGATGGACTCCGCAGCCCCCTGACGCCACCTCCCGGAGCAAGATGTGCGTTGTTCCTATCGCCTCCTGGACGAGGGTCGGGGACTTCGATCTCAAGCCCTTCATCATCATCATCGTCGTCGTCGTTGTCATCGTCTTCCTCGCCCTCGGCGTCCGAGTTGTCGTCTTCTCGGTGTCCGGGCGAGGGTGAGCGGCGTGTGTGTTTGGGTGATGGGGCTGTCGAGTCGACTTCACCTTCGGCGTCTACGTCCGAGTCGGAGGAGTCTTGCACGAATTCTGCGGATTTGGGTTTGCTGGGTTTGCTGCTTGAACTTGTTGGTGCTGTTGCTTTACTCTGCGATGCAGGAGGAGCAGGGCATTCCGTCGCTCGTCTTTCCAGATTGATTGCCGGCGCATTAGCCTTCTTTGGTGCGCCCTTTGCCGTGGGCTTACTTGCGAACACCGACGCGGCTTTTCGCTTCTTGGCCGGCGGTTCGACGGCGCGGCGCGCTGGGAGAACGGGCGTGTTAGCCGTGCTTGTTGCTGGGTTGGAGCGGTAGTCCGGTGAGGAAGCATAGCCGCGCTCTTCTGCTGTGTCCTTCTTACTCTTTACAGCGTTCAGGAAGTGTCTGAAGTCGTATGGGTTCGCAGCATCTGGCTCTGTGCCCTCGTTCGCCGCGTCGCCTTGTTCTTCGCCGAAGAGATCGACTTCACCCTCCTCTTTGTCGTGGACGCTGTCCTTGTGCGCTTTCTTGGGGTAGATCTTCCCATAATCTGCCGATACATCGGCGCCGTTCTTCGTGGAGAGATTGAAGGTGTATGTGTTGTCGAGACGCTCGAGGGTTGCTTTCTGTGTCGGTTGGTCGAAGAGGAGGACGTAGGACTTGGTGGGTGTTGTGCGGGCGCCGTTGAAGACAAAGACGTCGTTGTCGCCGGTAGTGTTCGTGTCGCGCAATGACAGATTGTATGCATTGCTGTTCGAGGATGAGAGGTGTGTGGTGCGGGTGCCGGTCGAGAGGTTGGGTTTGTGGTTGTCTGAGTAGGCGGACGTTAGCGAGCTGTGTCGCGGATGTCGCATCTTAGGGTTGGTATGCGGAGACCGGCTTGAGGACTAGACAGGAGAGCACGTGCATACATTTCACTCCGCTGAACCCGTTCCCTGACCTGTCTTCCTTCCGGATCTGGTCGCTGACGTCCAGCGTGTACGTTGCTTTGCGGTGCGGTTCGACCCGCCCGTCAACCATGGGGGATGCCATCGCCTCCTCTCCCGATACCGCTCTTGCCCCCCTCCTGTCCGAGTGCTGGATGTCTGACGGGGCAGATATGTGGACCTTGGCTATCGCAAGGGGGAGAGAGTGCAGATTTCGAGTAGAGATGCAGATTTCGAGCAGAGAGGAGGAGATGCAGGGCCTGGAGGCTCGGAGGCTCGGAGGCTCTGGGCGTTCGCTGCGGGCTGGTGTGAAGCGTGGGTTGTCCGCGCTCTGGTCCTCCCACTCCCGCAATGTGGGGCCGCACGTTTGCTAACTATAGCTTGATGAGCATTCAACCTTCCACTTTGCCATGTCGAAGAGCGCAAATCACTGCAAGGGACAGGTCGCTTGAGAAGGAGCTGGTATCAGGGTTCTGGCATGATGAAGCGTTTGATGCGTGTTCTGTTGATCTGGCTGAGTCCACTGTCTGTAACAGTGAGAGCTGCAAGGCACGCAGTCCAGTGACGCTTGAGCTTAGTCTCGACAATAGCAACTTGAGTTTGATGGCGCTCGGACGAAACACAACACGACACGACACGACATGCACGTCTGCAGGTTTGGGGGTGAACGTTTGGTGGAGATGGATTCAGGAATGGGCGTCAGCTCAAGAACAACCCGACCGCCAGCACAGGGCTTTCCCCCGCCCTGCTCCTACATACATAGGCTATACATAGTCGCAGCGCGGATATCTTTCCCTCATCAGCGCATAGCATTGGTCATGTTCCCGCCTCCTTTCACACAGACACCATAGTATGAACGGTAAATGGTCTCATTTTGCTTTTCCTTTCTCTTCCAAGCCTTGCCTATCCATCCGTACGCCGACATGCCGAGATGCAGTTGTCAATGACAGGGTATGAGGGTGTGAAGAAGACAACGTCTACCACTGGGTGGTGGTAGCGGGGGCAGCCTCAGCGCCCCAGCCCTCGTTGCCGGTCTGCTGAGCCTGCTCGCCGGAAGCGGCAGCCCAGTCAGAGGCATCAGCGTCCCAGGATGCGCCGGGGGCAGCAGCCTGGGAGGTGAAGGCACCAGCGGAGGCGCCGGAGACCTCCCACTCCGAGGTGAAGCCGGCTTCGACAGCGGCGGGGCCAACCTCGTCGGCGCCGGGGACCTTGGCCTCCTCGACACCGGAGGCGTCCTTGTTCTCCTCGGCCTCGGGGTCGCGGTAGAAGTACAAGTCGGTCATGACGTCCCACTCAGCCTCGCGGGAAGCGAGGGTGCCGCGCAGGCGGAGGACCTCACGGGCGAGCATCCACCAGACGAGACCGATGGCGTGGCGACCCTTGTTGTTGGTGGGGATGGCAACATCGACGTACTCGGTGGGAGAGTCACCGTCGCAGAGGGCCTGATACCGTTAGTACAGACTCAATTCCTTCACGCTGAGGCATGGCTTACAATGACCGGGATGTTGACGTAGGAGGCCTCCTTGATAGCCTGGGCGTCGGTGCGAGGGTCGGTGACGATGATGAGGCGGGGCTCCTTGAACGAGCGGGTGATGTAGTTGGTGAAGTTACCGGGGGTGAAGCGACCGGCGATGGCGACAGCGCCGGTGTGGGCGGCGAACTTGAGGACCGCACGCTGACCGTAGGGACGGGCAGAGATAACGCAGACTAAGAAATGTCAGTCCGTGAGCCTTCTCTCTGCTGTGCGCGCACGTGCGATCTCGAAAAAGTTCGAATTTCGCAGTCGCAGATCTCTCTCTTACTGTCGGCCGGGTTGTCAATAGCGGCGATGATGCGCGCAGCGAGGACAATCTTCTCCCAGGTCTTGCCGACGTTCAGGACGTTGACGCCGTCGGCCCTGGTCTTCCACAGGTAGGGCTCCATGTGCACCTGGAGGTTCTTCGCGCCGAGGTGGCACTGGGCAGCGAGGAGCATCTCAATGTCCTGCTGGGTGGGGTTGAAGATCGCGGGGAGGTTGGAGGGGGCCATCTTGACGGATTGGACACGGAGGGCAGCTGCTTGTCGGTGTTGGAGAGTTGTGCGGTCGCGCTGCGCAATTGTCGGAGGGGGAGGGTGTTGTGGGAATTCGCGTGGGAGTAGCCGCATCGGGCAAGGCGGCGTCGGGGCGGAACAACTGGCCGGAGGAACTTTTGCATCGATGAGGGTGAACACCAGGATGCGTGTAGGAGGGGAGCAGTAGCCGCCGCAGCCGACCATCACCATGCCGCCCCGGATACCCGTCCCATTGTGCCTGCGGGCCTCGAGCTCGCCGTCGGCCTTCAGCCTCCCGCTGCGCGCCTTCTCGACGACGGGGCCGCTGCACAAGAAGCTCACCTCGCTGGAGCGCAAGCAGCGGTTCGAGCACGACCCCTACGTCGCCGCACAGAAGGCCCGCAAGAAGGCGGCCAACCTGTCGCGCCGCGCCGAGCTGGAGCAGTCGCGCGTAGACAGCCTGGGCAACCCCGTCCGCGGTGTGTCGACGCCCTTCGTGCAGTCCTTCGACACGGGCAGGCCAGCAGGGACTGCCGAGAGCACGCCGGCCGACCACCAGCTGAACTACCGCTTCGACCCCACTGGCATCGAATCTCAGCTGGAGCAGAGCAAGCGCCTGGCCGTCCCGCTGAGCGAGCTTGCAGGGTCAGCTCCATCCGCAGGGCCTCACAAGTGGAGCTCCTCGATGCGACACAACGCGGCCAGCAACATCCAGAAGACCGCCGACGAGATCGTGGCCCAGAACAAGGACGACCACGCCCGCGCCGCCGAGGCCATTGCCCGCATCACGGCCCTCGAGAACGGGTCCAGCAAGGACCGCATGCGCGTCAACATCACCCGCTGCATCAACACATTCGGCCGCCACAACACCGACAAGGTCCTGCCGCCCCGCGCACCACATCTGATCAAGATCAACTCCGATGCACCACCCGCCGTCCGTCCCGAGACCAATGTCGCTGCAACAGGGAAGCGCATTGGGCCGGACACAGGATCGTCAGAGGTGCAAATCGCCATCCTGACCGCGAAGATCAAGACCCTTGCAGACTTCCTGTCGACACGAGGCAAGGGCGACAAGCACAACAAGCGCAACCTGAGGTTGCTGGTGCACAGGCGGCAGAAGCTGCTGCAGTATCTGAGGAGAAGGGAGCGCGGTGGACCGAGGTGGCAGCACTGCATCGAGACACTGGGGCTGACAGAAGGAACATGGAAGGGCGAGATCTCGCTGTAAGATGTATATGTTGAGAGCATTGTAAATTAGCGGCACGAGACGGGTGTTCGGTGCATTGCAGTTGTACAATAGGAAGCATAAGAGCCTGGCATTGCAATTGGCCTGTCGTGGCCCTGACCCGACCACATACTTGCCTCGCATGTTGTGACTTCTCCTCGGCCAGCTCAGGCCGGCTCGTCCGCGGCGAACGAAGTTGCGGCTCCAAGATGTCCGAATTACGTGCGTATGCGTCTTCCTCACCTCACAACACTAGCGCCGTCAGAGCAGAGCAGTCACATCCACTCCGTCCCCTTCGCTTTACTTTTGACTCCTTCCTCGCACAATACACTTGCCTTTCACACTCAGTTTCTTGAAAGAAAAAAAAACGGCATCCAGTGTCTGACAGCAGAAGACCTGCACACAGCTCGAGTCTAGGCTGCCGCTGTCAGCCATCATAGGAGAGCAATGAACCGCCGTATACCTTCACCACGCCAGGGTCAAGAGGCCTCGATGGCACAGGAGAGACCAGACATCCTGCCTGTGGCAAGCTACATCTTCCTGAGCTGGAAAGCAGCTGCCGGCGACAATACCAGGGTACGTTTCAAACAGGTCGACTGCATCACAGCTGGACACCAGCTCTTTCATTTGATTTGAGTCTAGAAAAACGTGACAGACACCAGCGGCCCGCACTATCAAGTTCGTGTCAAGGGTACTCGAGTTTGGTGCCCATGATCCGGATCACTGTCAGGCTGGTGTCATATGTAAGAGCAGGAGAACGTTCAGATCCACGCCATAGCGTGCAACGGGAACTTGAGCTCAGGTAAAAGTTCAATGAAGGGCAAGAAACGCACCTGATCGACGGCGAAGAGCACAGAGATACCGATAAAACTGTGAGTACCCGAGACATTGCGAATAGTATCGTGGCCATTTTCTGATCGGTGTGAGCTAATAGGTAACCTCGCTTAGCACGCTTTCCCTTCACTTCATTCCTCGCCAAGCACGCCCAACGCCCTCTCGACCACGAGTCCAGACTTGGACAAAAATCGACTTGTCAGCCAAGGCTTACATCCAACGAGACAAGTGCTGTTCGTCAGGCCACTTCCCCGGATCCCCACCGCTGTGGCGCTTGCACTAGACTAGTGTATTACGGCCCGGTTCCTCATCCCAACATGGCTCTCAGCCTTCATCCTCAGCGTTTTCCTGGGCGCGAACGCCTGATGATCAACACGAACCATTTTTTCACGCTCACGTCTTTCGGATGACCAGTCAGCAAGGAGACAGATCGCACGCCGTCAAGATACGCTTGCCTGTACCTCCTTGATAAGGCTGGGCAGATGTGAACTGTCGACCACTATGCACAGCTTGGTACTACACCAGCCTTCGCCAAAGAGATTCGCACCTGGTCCTGGTAAGCGCCAGGGATCACTCGCCTCCAAGCGGATGTCGAGCGCTCTGCCTTGCTCTTGGGACCTCTCAGAACACCATCAACAACAATATAGCCTTTGTCTAACTTCAGCCCCTCTACCGAGTCAAATCGCCTCCAGTGCTGCAGACGTTACCGGCTTATCGATACGCTGTACAAATGGAAGCCCTCCTGCGCAGTGCAGACGGACCACAGCTCGAGCTATCGAAAACGCGGACCTTGGCTGTGCGGCTCGTTTGGTAAGTGGTTGCCACGTGGCGCTACAATAACACGATCAAATACGGAGAACCTTGACGGTTCTTAGCCTCTGAAAGCGCATCTGGGTATAGCGCGGCAGTAGATCATCTTAAAAAGCTTGTTCCTGCAGGAAAGCAATATCGGTATGGAAATCCGGGGGCTTGGAACCTTTGGCATGCGATGCAGTCCGAACTAAGAGACTGGGATCTTGAAACTACCTCAGATGAGAGTCTAGATGGAGGGAGGAGAAGGGGAGGGCGTTATGGAGGCGTATATAAAGGTGACGATATCGCCATCTTCACAGCGCTACTCAAGGCAAAGTACTCGACACTACAACGACACTCCCACATTCAATCGTTACCAACAATCGTTTCAAGATGCGTCTATCAGCCATCGCCGTCGCTCTCTCAGCCGCAACTCTTGCGAGTGCAGAACTTACGTTCAACATTACACAAGCACTACAGCCTGGCAACTTTGCAAAGTACCGCTGCCTGTAAGAGAACCCACATCGTCTCAAGTACATCAATTAATGCCGACCAGCGACAACGACAAGCTCCTGGCACTCATGCCTCCAGTCACTGCAAAGTGTCTCAAGTCATGTCAAATCGCCGCCAACAAAGCTGATGGCTGTGCCGAGAACGACTTTACGTGCCACTGCGTGAACTACAACACCTACTCTAACGTATGTTCCGACCTCCCCCCTCCCCACTCCCCATACTCCCGCCCATTCACCTCTCAGACTCTGCCCTGCAATCCCAACGTCTCCACTCCACCTTCTCATCTCCATCTAAAGCCCCCTCCCCCCTCCCCCAACTCGTACTCGACAAGAATTAACAGCCCCTAGCTCATCGAACCATGCGCCTTCGCACTCCCTAACAACCCCGCTACAAACCCGCCCTGCGACCAGAACGCGCTCATCGCCGCCCGGCCGATCATCCAGGACATGTGTAACTTCTTCAACGCGACGCTGTATGCGGATTACCGCAAGTGTCCGCAGAAGCTGAGCAAGAAGAAAACGTATAGTATCATTGCAGATGAGGAGGTCGAGTGTAGGTACTAGAGGTAGGGTTGATGGGGAGGGGTGAGAGATGGAAGTAGTTGTGTGCGATTTTTGTACGTACACGTTGTTGAATACCAGTTTGTTCAGCTACTGCCTATTGCACTGAAATATGTCAATATTGCCTTTTGCTGACATCTGTTCCACTGGTCTGCCAATGTCATCCTCGCAACATTATTTATACCTCCCGGATATACAACGTCACACAATCTTGCGATAGACAAGACTATCGACCCACTCTCCTTTGCACTCCCACGCCCTCTCCGTCAAACTCGCCCTCTCAAACCCCAGCCTCTCCGCCAGCTTCCAACTCCCCGTGTTCCTGGGGTCGCACTCAATTTCCATCTCAGTGTGTTCTCCTTTCTCTCCGTGACGTTCCAGCAGTCTGTCAACAAAAGTGCGCATAGCCTCTGTAGCTAGTCCCTTTCCTTGATGGGAGGGAAGGAACGAATACCACAGCGTGAAGTGCTTTGAGGGCCTGCGGTGCTTCATTTCTTCAGTTTGATCAGTGCGGGGGACGGAACTGATAGCCGCGCCTATGCGGCCGATGAACGAACCCTCATACACGACAGCGAGTTCGATCGTCGTTCTCCCTCTCTCGTAACTGCGCTGGATCCCGCGTAGAAGGTTCTGGCGTGCTTCCAGGCGGGTCCAGGGGTGCCAGGACTGGTAGCGTGCATTGTCTGCATTGGACTCGAGGGCGAACAAGCCCTCCACATCACCTAGTTCGTACTCGCGCAGGACTAAGCGCGGCGTGCTGATGGGCTGCCAGTACGCGGAGAGATCGGACATGAGGAGGGTGGCGAGTTCGGCGGTGGTGAATTGCTGGGATGCGATGAGGAGTTGCTGCAGTAATGCGGTGTTGACGTCTCGGTAGGGCTGCAGTATGGGCTCTTTTGGCGGTTGAGAGGCACGGTAGGGGGTGGAGGTTGAGGTGCATTCGGCGCGCAGATCGGCGTCGGTAAGGAGTGTGTCGCGGATTGCTAGGTGGGCGCGCGCCGGTAGGGAAGAGGTGGGGCAGAGGAAGATGATGTGCGGTGGTGCTGTATGAGAGGCTTTGAGGAGAACGCAGTGAGGGAATCTAGGGTCGTCTTGACATTCGTATGGTCCATTTGTGACAAGAGCTGCAGAGATATCATCGATGTGAGTGAGTGGAGCGATGGTTAGGATGTCGATGATGGGTTGAGCTGGGAGGTCGGGCACGGCTGTGATACCTATGTGCTCAATTGTGATGTCTTTGATGCCTTGAAGGCGAGTTAGAAGGCTTGTACGGAGCTGGGAAAACTGTTTTGGCCAATCTGAGTTGTATGGCTCCATCTTGAACGACATCTTTCAGTTGTATGGGGATCGTGTTTAGCTGAGATTATTCAGTGGGACTTTGTTGGTGAGGTCGGCTGTAGTTGCTTGTTTGGTCTGTATGCTGTACAACACTATATGCTGGATAGTTGAAGCTGATGGTGGTCAACATGTAGATTCCTGGAGTGGGAAAGATTTGCATTAGACCGCACTTGGTTTATTAATTGTTGGCAGCAGGTGCGGATTGTAGGTGAATGCGCCCTTCCAAAATGAGGTGCGCCCTTCCGAAATGAAGTCCGCCCTTCAGCTCAGCCATGCTCAATCGTACTCTTCGATCTTGATGACAGGAATGTCTGAGTATGCTGGAGGCAGTCCTTCCTGTGTAGACTCCAGCAAAGCATACTCAGCGTCCATGGCCTTCTCCTGCTGCCCTCTCTGGTGCCAAACGCGGGCGAAGAAGATGAGGAACGCAAGCAGCAATGCCAGCGGCAGCAGAAGTGCATTGTGCTGGATGTGATCCAACCAATACTGCCCAATCTTACCAAACACCATGTTCCACACCCGCGACCAGGAGCCCAGCTTGCCGTATTCGTCCCACTCGTTTGGATCGAAGGCGGTCTTCACCATAGCCAGCTTGCCGCACTTCATCCTAATCGGCTGGGCGCGCTGGTATCGCTCCACAATCTGAACATCCTTGATAGACAGAGATTTTTCTGCGCCGTCTGCGAGTTTCTCTTCTTTGACTAGAACCTGCACAAGCCTGCGATCTTCATCGAAGTGTACTGGCTCGCCATCTTTACCCCATGGAAAGCCTGTGATATCAAATTGCATCCACCACTGTCCTGGAGTCTCGGTTTTGAGAAGAGTGTGCTCGTATTGCAGAGGGAACTGGTGGTACCTTGTCTGCCAGGCAAAGTCGGGATCCAGCAAGCGTTCATGGATGATACTGTCCATGGCTTCATGTGTGAGATTGCCGGCGACTTGGTATGCGTTGATGTGGAGGGGCATCGGGTCGAGAGGTAGAACCGTGGCACCGTTCAGACGCATTATCGATATGTCGGATACGGCGTCCTTGAGGTCAAACTTCAGAAGCTTCATGAAGGTCAGCGGTCGTTCTTTGATTGGCAACACGTGAGCACTGGGCAAGACGTACCAAAGAGTTATCACGCTCCTGCCATGATGCTTTCCTGCCCTCCTTGACAAGGAAAGGACAGTCTGGACATTCAAGCTTCACGACATAGCTCCTGTTCGCCTCGATAACGGTGATTTCTGGCGCAACATCTGGGATCGGCTTTCCGTGATCCTTGTACCAGTCGGCAGTCTCGTCATATTTGAGATCGGGACGTGGCGGAAGGTCCCGTTGAGCAGCGGTCACACTAGCAAATGCAGCAGCAAGGCTGAGAAACGAAAGTAGCTGCATATTTACAAAATTACAAACAGCTCAAAGAAACGACAGTGAGTGACGAGGGTCAGACGTGGTTGAAGAGTGATCGGCAGATGGTGTTCGGGGACAATGACCCCAGAGCTGAGTGACAAGCTCCTGAGCTAGCGCGTTTGTGGCTTAACTTCAGGAGCTATTCTTAGGTATCGCGGGAAGATCAGAGCTTGTTTTCCTCCACCAGCACATCGATCATCAACCCGAAGAGGCATTTGGGCTTTGAGGAGACGATATGTTACCAGCCGTACGCTAACAGAACGTCTGATGGAGAACACCTTGCTGGTCGGCAATAAGCTGTCAGCATTTCGATGAGGATAATCCTTCCACAACATGATCTCGGAATCCGACCGTTTCAACATATGCTCGACTGCATAGTTCTGGAGCCTCAACCGTGCTTACTGGTGGACTGCCTGATATGTCCTCTTCCGTCATGCTGCCCACTGAACTCCAAGACCGAATTACATGAAGTTTATTGAACCGTCTTTGGCACTTTTCGTTTTCTCCACAATTTCGGTCCTACTTTATCGTCTCGGACGCATCATTCAGTTCTCAGGTATGTTTGGTCATTCCCTCAATGCAATTGTAGTTGTCCTTGACTGAGTGATTCTTACATGATCAGCGGACTTCGTTGTTTCGCAAGACAACCCCGCTGCGTAGTCCGTTCTGGGCTGGCAGTACATCTACCTGTCTTCAGTCGTTAAACTGTCTATAATATTTGTTCTTAGCGTTCTCAACTTTCTCGATCAACATGGCCACGATGCAGAAGCAAGACTGGCACCACAAAGGCTCATCATGCTGCACGCCTTTTGGGACATGCAAGTCCAGCCAGCAAGCTCAAGTGATTCACCACTTACGGTCACTCAGGTTGTCTCTCATGGTGGTGTCCCTGTATCCTCTACGGACGTACCCGTCACCGTATGAGGACCAACGGCGACATGAGCAAGTACTCCTGCTGTAACACCAGCGTGAAGATCCCCACCCCACCACCCACTCCATCTACTGACAAAGATTAGTGCGCTACCTTTACTGGAATGGCATGTGTAGGTCTATCGTGGATCTTACCACTGATCAACCGTGGCGATATGCGGGCGAAGTACAACTTGACCGGTAATGGCTGCAAAGACTGTCTTTGCGCTTGCTGCTGCGCGCCTTGCGATCTCATGCAGCAGGACAAGGAAGTGCAACATCGTGAAGAGCAAGGCAAGCCGCTGCTGAATCAGCCTGGCAGGGCGGACTCGATGAAATATGCGCCGCAGTGGCAACAACAGTAACCGCACTTTCATCATAGCTAAGGTGTCGAAATCTGGTGGGCTCGGCTGGTGTATCTAACTGTCGGGGTGGATTGTGAGTGATCCGTACGCATGTGGGAAGAATTGCAGGTTTGAACTGAGGTTGTATTTCACTATTCTGTGTGTTTGAATATGTTGTGGTCTCGGTTGAGACCCTATTACCCTGGTATATACTGTTCTGGAATAGCGACCTCCAGGGCCAGTATATAGTCGGCTTCTCCTCACGTAGTCTAAACCGTGACACTAACGTTTCTCGCCTTCAATCGTCGCTCTTTTCTTTGTTTCCACGCGTTCTAGTTTGCAACTCTCGTGGTTTTCATCCGGTGTTCAAGCTTCCTTGTGCTGCGCTAAGGCGACGGCAAGCATCAAGTTCGACGCATGACATAGGGGCTACTCAAAATCAAGTACCGGGGCGCGCATAGGAAGGGCAGTTGAACAGCTGCCACATTAGGCATGCAAAAAGCCGCGGCATATTCACGAACACCACTAATAACTTAATTGTTCCGCACCGACATACGATGTTTGGTTCAACAAACTAGAAGAGTTCCTATAGTATGCTATCCATACTGGATACTATAGATTCGCCGAACCACCAGCTAGCATGGCTGCATTGTTCGAAACACATCTATAGAAGCTGCGTGACGTGGGCAGGGCGATTGACTACGAGCCCTTCAGCCTAGAAATTGAAGATAGCGATTGCACCGAAGTGCTGTCTGATGAGGCGTTGATTGAAGGGGTATGCAATGAGGATCAGACTGCGATCTACTCAATGGAAGAGGAAGTATGGCGATGCGCGAAATGTTTTGAGAGAAGACCGGTGCTCGACAAACGAGAAGAGGACGCTCATCGTGCCTTTGTGTACCAGCTGGAACAAGACCCTTTGTATATCACGCCTAAGCCAGTAAAAAGGAGTAGGCTATACCGGGAATATGTGGATTGCGTCGAAGAGTTTGAACAGGGGAACTCGAGAATTTTCCTGAGCTAAGTGGTGAAGAGGCCAATGAAAGTGGACAAAGTGCAGTAGCTTGGGGTTATCGATATTGGAATAAGAGCAGATGAGGATGACGATGAAAAGAAAAGAACATCAAGAAACCCAGTTGTGACCACACCTCTCCCGTTGCAGCAAAAGCCGGCTACAACAACCTAGCTATGAGTATCAACAACCGAACTCTGGAGGCAATTCAGATATGTGAACACGCTCTATAGTAATTTTATAAGCATTGTAGTCTTGTAGGGCTTTCTCAAATTAGAGACAGCCTGCAAACTTACACTAACTAGTTCCCCTGATCCAGACGGACCCAGGCTTATAGACGGCATTTTTTCCCGCACCACGTCATGCATAAATCTCACGATGATTTACAAATGAGCGTTTCTGAGAAGAATGTTGATGTTACTGAAATAGGAGATGATGCTGGGGAAGGCTCTCTGCAGAAGCATGGTGGAGTTGAGGAAAATAACTTGAAGACCGTAGGACTTGGTGGCAGCGACATTCCAATAAGTGATCTTGTGAGAAGTTTGGCATTGGTTTACGAAGGTAGGGTCATCAACGTATACCCTCGGCACGCTCGTATTCCACCTCATTCTTGGCGCGCTGCCTGCTCACTACATCGCTCATGCTTTGGGTGAAGCTTGCAGTCGCCTCATCGATTCTGACCAGATGTTTCAGTGTCAGCTGCTCGCCCTTAGTTTTAGCTAAAGCTCTGGCATACGCCACCATGTTCTGTATCTGTCTCCCGTTGGCCTTGTTAGCCCTTTTCACTAGGCATGAGTCTCCCAGAGCGTCTTCGAGTTGGGCGCGATCTTCGATTTCGTCTTCCGGTATCCCTTTTGATCTATTTCGACAGATGTCCAGACGTTGCTCTGGTGTCAGGTCTTGATGTTGTATAGCTAGTTCGATGCGAGATTGGAAGGCACCGTCAAGGCACCACCAAAGCAAACTCGTTGCCAAGATCGATGTTTCTATGAACCTATCTAATTCACCGATATCTTATTCGTGGTTTCGGTCTCTTTGCTAGACCAGGGTGCTTTTGCTGCTCGTGGCAACGCAATGCATCGCTACGATTGTAAAACTTCTTACATACTCGACAAGAATAGCCCCTCCTTGACGTTATTGAATGCATTTGGAGTACATGTCTCTTCAAATTACCAGGTCCATATTGACCGGCAAAACCTTGGCCACATGTTTTGCATACAACTTCTGAATACCGTTTCTTCTGTGAAGCAGGCTTTGCTGCATCTTGCATTGGCAGCGGTCTAGCATTTGTATCGACTGCGCTTTCGATATTTTCTTGCTGTACTTCAACGACATCATTGTCATCTTGCGTTGCGTCAGAAGTCGCTTCGAGCCTTGAACATGTCAAGTCGGGTCCTATCTCCCAAGCACCCACAAGAGAATACAATGGCCTTGTATGATTTAGACCTTCTCGGTCGAATTGGCGATATGGGGAATAGCTTTCGTGGCTGGCCTGGAAGCCAGAATCGTATCGTGTTGTAGGCGTAGGAAGATCGAACACTGGGGGCAAATCGGGCAGTGTGGGCTCTATAGGGTACAGACTAGTGTTTGGAGTTGCGCAAAAGATGTCAGGCGGTCGCTCTTTGTGGCAAATTCTTGATGGTGCGTCTTGGTGCAGGTTATATGTACCGAGAGTCGAAATCGTGTTCGCAGCGAGCGGATCCATCGGCGTATGGGGAGCAGGTGTCATAGGAGTGAAATCGTCCTGGTTGGTAGGGCGGGCTGCTATATTTGGAGTCTACTGTTCAGGTCAGGATCAAGCAGCAGGCGACATAGGCAATACTCACGTTCATCGCCCCCTTCAACATATCATACAATTTGCACCATTGTAGCATCTGCCCCTCAATACCCTTCCGCTGCGCACGAACATTGTCGCAGAGCTGTCCTTCGTCGCCATGCTCGCGGTCGAACACTATTTCGTCGAGGAAGTCTTCGTTGCAAGTTGGGCACAGCTTGATAAACCGGGAGTGAGGAGGTCTCTTTAGATGTCGTCGCACTTCAGACATGCTCTTCGCCTCAATTCCCCTGCATGAATACGGTCGTTGATGCGTGTCGCGTTGGACAGCTCGTACAACGCACTCAAGCGTCGGCCTGGCTTTGGTCTCATCAATAAAATCTTCATTTCCAGGCTTAGCCGATTGCAAATTAACTGGAATGTTTTCTGTAGGATCCTGTCCGATTGGGCCTTGGTACAGTAGACCGTCGTCCATGATCTGTTGATAGGATAAGTCAGATGTATGTACTAGATCATGTGACTCTCAGGCCCGTGGTATATATTGAGCACGTCTCTTTTCGAAGTTCGTTACTTCCAACAATCCACTTCCTGTCACTTTCGTTCGCTCCCCCAGCGCTCACCAAAAGGAAATGTCTACTTACGAGGTAATTCCAGAACAGCTCATCATGAGGCGGAGATAACAGAGGAAACGCGACATGTGCGCTGAGTCCTTGATACTCAGTTGTGTTAGCTTGTGGGATGACACCGGGGTCCGCCTCGTGGTCAGAGTCTTGTTCGACAATAGAAACAAACCCTGAATCGGCGTTTGACGCAGATCTCAGAACAGAGATACTGCCATCTCGTTCAAGCGCTGGCGGGAAATGGTACTGATTGAGCGGTTCGCAGGGAGCTGTGTACCTTTCGGGTTGTTGCCTAGATGTTTCGTTCGTGTCGTTCACAACTGGTATTGCAGGATTGTCGGAAGGTGTGCGAGCCATGACGCCCAAGCGGGGCAAAGAAAACGCGGGACTCCGTACGCTGGTGTTCAGGACTACATACTTGGGGGCATGATAGGATATAAAGAGGGTGTTCTTTTCCGTTGCACGAGACATGATTGGCTGCCCGCGGGGCCTGTAAGACTGGCTTGCATATCTGCAGGCTTGCCGACATGCCCACTCGCATACTTGCGTGTTTGCGCAGATGCCTTGTTGCCTTGTTGCCAGATAACTCAAGAGGTCGAAAAGCAGAGACCAATGATGAACTAACATAGGGACGGAGCTTGATGTGCCCTGCTCCCCCAATTGTGCAACCCAGGAGACTCGCATGTAAGCCTTGTAACTTATGTTGAGCGCGCATAGACAAAGCATGCTCTCTGACAACAGTGAATAGGTTATAGAGGTTTCGTGACAAGCCACTGTCTAGCATCTACGCAGCTACGCATTTAATATGAGACGGTAATGAGGGAAGGAGCCGATCAAGACGTCGCCACGTGCATTGAGCAAATGCGCAAATCAGCAAACATCCGGACTTGTTACTGCATTGGAAATGGGTATCATAGTTGAAAGACCAAACAGAACGCTCACTAGCTTTCTCGTTGCTGAGATGCTGAAATGCGGAAATGTCCGTATGCGTAGAAAGTGTCGTTTATGCCCACACCCCAAGTGTCCAGCTCACTCGCTCACCGGCACCGCGTGCAACGCCAGGGCCCATGCTTTGCCGTTGCGGAATGACTGAGACCTCCTTGTCTCTCGAGGCACCCTGTAACCCATGTTGCAAGTAACGCTCTCTTTCGATCTCGACAATGCCTCGAGTTCTTTGATGAGCAACAAGGCTGGCCCCGGCCCAAGCACCCAGCGTCTGCACACCTCTGATCGTACCGCCAATGGAGCACTCGAGTGGTGGCCCTTTCTTCAAGCTGGCGTTGGCGAGCTTGATGTCGATGTTGTCGATCTCCGGCTCTTGTAGACCAGCTGGCAACGAGGCAGGTGCTGCAGCGGGATCAAGCGACTCAGAAATCCTGCCCTCTTCTTTCTGCCGCTTCATTGCCAAATTGCGCTGCTGTGCCCGCAGTCTGTCTTCGTGACGCGCAGCGCCCGCGCCCCAGGTCTTGACTGGATCCCATCCCCTCAACTGAACGAGCACTTCCAGCTCTTTCAGGATTCGGGTCTTCAGGCCTGGCATGTCTGCCACTCCACCCGTTATGACGATGCGTGACATGCAAAGTCGGCGGACATCGACCGGGAGTGCAACCAGCGTGCGGTAAACGAGGTGATGGATAGGCAGTTCTTCGTCGTCGAACTCGTTCGACGGTACTTCTGGTTCGAAAAGGATATTCTCGGCAGGCTTGGCTAACGAGGCAAGTGCTACCTTGAGCTCGGTCGGCGGTATGTGCTTCGGAAACGGGATCATGACGGTGGGTGGAGGTGTTTCGATAGCATCTTCCCATTCTTCCAGTAACGGCGCCTCACGCGCGGGGAAGTAGATGGTTTTTCGGTTCCCTCTTGAACTGGGTTTGCACCACCCAACACGCGTGAGCACCTCTTCTGCTTCCTCGAACGACACATCTGCTTTCGGTGTGCCTGGTGCAGCGTCTTCGTCGAGCTCGGCGTTCAGCACCTTGGCCATCTCTTCGCTCAACCATTTGCCTGCTCGCAACGTCCGCTTCTCATGCACCTCCCGATACTCGCAAACGGCTGTGACCAGCGTCTCGGCCCATCCAATGTTAACGACCAACGCTGAGCGCAAGCCTGCGGCGACGGTAGAGAGAACGGGGTGCGACATGAGGGTGATGCTGGGTGCGTGGAAGCTCTTGAACAGTATATCAAGGATCTTTGTGATGAGCGCATGCGGTAATCGCGGCGGAAGCGCTAGCGTGATGCGTCGCGGCTTCGTGTCTAGTAGGAAGTACTTCGTGTATGCCTCTCTTATGGCCCGCTCGAACTTGTCTCCCACAAGACCCATGTCGACCTTAGTAAGGTCTAGACAGTAAAGCTCATGATCTTCACCCCATTCCTGACCCCTGTCCTTTCTCCGTCTTCTTTGACTATACTCTGGGTCGTATTGCCTGTAGTCGCCCACCCTTCTTTGCCTGTCTGGACCGAACGGGAGTGTGCATCGAGGGGCACTCTCACCGGGAAATCCTCCTCGTACGAATCGTGAACCGACTTCCAAAACAACATACTCATCTTCGGTACGATAATTGCCACTCGGTGAACCATAGAGGGAGGAGGATGCGCGCTGGAGGGGTGTGCGCGGCGTTTCGGGGGTGGAGGCTAGGTCTGCGACACGCGGTGCTGTGCCTCTCACAGAGCGCCCTAGGGACGCAGACACTTTGCGCTCGCTGATGGTTGACATAGTTATGAGCCCTGGTGGCTGAATGGAATTCTGTACATCAAAACATCATGGTGTTTGGCTGCGTTTGATATGCAGTGAGACGCTGGGTTGCTGTCCATCAACGCGCCGGTCGCGCTTGCACATTTTAGGCGCTAGCTCCTGCATTCCTTGGCAGCCAAAAATTTCGAGGAAGCTACGACCGGCGCACAATTGACCAGCACCGACAACCCTCGCGCCCTCCCACATCGCGAAATCCCAGCTCGAACGGAGCCGTGACACCGACTCACCGTCACCTCGAGCAGCAAAAAAGCAGGAAAAATGGGTCTTTTCATCCTTACCGAGACGAGGTACGATTGCTGCGAATGAGCACGAAGCTGCAGTGCCCCAGAGAACTAACATGGAATTGCAGCGCGGGTTATGCTCTGTTCAAGTCCAAGGACAAGAAGCTGCTCAGCAAGGGCGATGAGCTCAGCAAGGATGTCTCGACCGTTGTCGAATCGCTGAAGCTCAAGAAGTTCACCAAGTTCGAGAGTGCTGTCACTGCGCTCAACGAAGCCGCTGCCCTCACCGACGGCAAGGTCAGCTCCATGCTCGGCAGCCTGCTGCAGGAGCTCAAGGACGAGACCAAGGCATCTTGTACGCCATTTGCGATTCGGCTGTGAAGATGGACACAGAGCGCTAACAATCTGCAGTGGCTGTCGCTGACCCCAAGCTCGCCAACGCCATCGCTCAGGTCCCCGGCCTGTCCATCAAGCCGATTTCCGACTCCTCCACCCAGGATGTCTACCGTGCTATCCGCGAGCACATGACCTCCCTCATTCCCGATCTGGTCCCCGCTGAGATGGACTCGACCCGCCTCGGTCTTGCGCACTCGCTCTCCCGTCACAAGCTCAAGTTCTCCCCCGACAAGGTCGACACCATGATCATCCAGTCCATTGCCAGTCTCGACGTTCTCGACAAGCAGCTCAACACATATGCTATGCGCGTGAAGGAATGGTACGGCTGGCACTTCCCCGAGCTTGCCAGGATCTTGAACGACAACCTCGCATACTCCAAGGTTGTCCTCAAGATGGGTTTCCGCACAAACTCCAAGGACGCCGATCTGTCGGGCATTCTGCCTGAGGAGATTGAGGCCGCTGTCAAGGCTGCCGCTGAGATCAGTATGGGTACCGAGATTTCCGAGGAGGATTTGGAAGCCACCAGCGCTCTCGCCGAGCAGGTGGTTGACCTCACTGAGCACCGTCAGAATCTTGGCGCATACCTCTCCTCGCGTATGCAGGCTCTTGCACCTAACCTGACTGCGCTCGTTGGTGAGCTCGTCGGTGCCCGCCTCATCGCTCACGCTGGCTCCCTCATGAACCTCGCCAAGTCCCCCGGTTCCACCATTCAGATCCTCGGCGCCGAGAAGGCGCTGTTCCGTGCGCTCAAGACTAAGCACGACACTCCCAAGTACGGTGTAAGTAGAGCTACCCAACGTTCCTGTTGACTTGCGTGCTAATCTACCCCAGCTCATCTACCACGCCTCTCTTATTGGTCAGGCAACTGGCAAGAACAAGGGAAAGATTGCCCGTATGCTCGCTGCCAAGTCCGCTCTTGGTCTGCGCGTCGACGCCCTCAGCACATGGGGCATTACATCCGAAGACAAGTCTGCTGAGCCCACCGAGGAGGAGAAGTCACAGATCGGTCGCGACGCTCGTCTTGGCATTGAGAGGAGGTTGAGGGCTCTCGAGGGCAAGCCCCTCAAGAGCATTCCCAACGCCAATGCAACTGCGCTCGGCTCTGGACAGAAGTGGGACGTCAAGGAGGCCCGCAAGTACAACCCGGATGCGGATGGTCTTACTGGCGAGGAGCCCGCAGCCAAGAAGTCGAAGTCTGACAAGGTCAACGGCACCACACCGAAGAAGCTCGTAGAGGAGGTCAACGAGGACGAGACCATGGTTGACGCTGACGACGCCGAGGACTCCGAGTCCGAGTCTGAGGAAGAGACCAAAGCGACCAAGGGCGGTGACAAGGCAGCAAAGAAGGCAGAGAAGGAGGCCAAGAAGGCACGAAAAGCCGAGCGCGCCGCAAAGCGAGAAGCTAAGGAAGCAAAGAAGGCTGCAAAGGAAGCCAAGAAGGCGTCAAAGGACTCGAAGAAGAGGAAATCCGACGACGACGACACAACTGAGAAGAAAAAGAAGAAGAAGAGCAAGGACTAGACTCACACGCGCATCTTGAATGATGTTGCTGTTGTACGTTTGACCATGTGAAAATGGGTGGCGTTCTGGGATCTAGCTTCTTTTTCTTTGACGTTTCGCATGTCGTGCTATCTATGGGCGCGTGGCGTAGGATTGGATTCATGTATCATCTGATGGCATTGCATATTGGGGATGAGGACGAGGTGCGGGAGGATACCCACCAGCCGCTATGCATACAATTTCACACAAAAAGTTCACTCCGTCTTGTCTTATGGTCTTTGTGATATTCATGTTCTGTTTGATGGAACCTGTGCAATTCTTTGTCGCAGCCGTTCGTTTCAAAAGTGGTTCTTGACATTAAAATACTTCTATCTCAGCCTTGCCCACGTACTGTTCACTTTTCCATTCCTCGCTTCCAACCTCAGCCACTTACTCCTCTCGCACCCTCCGCTTGACCTTCTTCTTCTTCTTACTCGCGCCCAGCAGCTTGTTCTGTATCTTGGGCAACTCGGCGTCCTCCACTCCGGCAGGTATACTCGCTTCCTCCTCCTCAAACACCTGCGTGATTATAGATAGAATCTCGGAAAGCTGCTGTTCGGAGAATCGTGTGCCCGCCTAAACATATGTTAGCACTGAGTGCCTTCAAAGTAGCGTCCACGTCAACAACAAACATTGGAGGCCACGGGAGTGAAGTAACGCGGAAAGGGGGCAAAGGGGCAGGAGGGGACGTACCTCTTCGATAATCAGCTCGAGCATAACCTGTGTCGTCGGCCTCAAGTTATAGATCTGGATGAACTCGGCCTTGTTCAAACGGTAGTGTGGTGCCAGCACGCGGAAGAGTGAGTGTTCGCCCTTGTACAACGTCATTGGCCGGTCCGGGTGTGTTTCTGTGAGGGAGGCGGTCGTGTAGTCGGGCGTTTGAAGGTAGGTTAGGCCCTGGGGTCGTCAATACAAGTTTGGACAGATTGGTGATTTTAGATGTGTCTTGAATTGGGGTGGTTCGGTGGAGAGTGGGTTAAGTCGACGGAGGATGGGTGAGGAGCGGTAGTGCTGTAGAGTTTGAGAGGGACGGCGATTGAACGTACATCGCGTAGCATGTGCTCGAGGCCCTTGGGCTTCCATCGCTTGCGGTCTGTGCCGTCTTCGCCGGTGTATTCGGCTTCTTCTTGGCGCAAATGCAGGAGGAGCTCGTGGTTTGAGATGAGTGCTGATTGGGGGTTTTTGATCTGTGGTTGTTAGCTCTGGGAAGATATGCGTATGTGAAGGTAATCTAGTGCACAGAATGTGTAAACAATGAGTTTGAATCGGGGCCGTTGGACGCCTGTCACTAAGGTGACCCAAAACGAGCAAGGAGAAAGCCGATGTTCTGGCACAGTGAAGTGACGGTGGACAATAGTAGACGTTGAGCTTGATAGGATAAGAAGCAGGATTTGGCACCTACATGCATTGTGACTGTAGTGGTGGTGGTGGTTGTGGTTGCTCAGGCTCAGTTGGGCTTACAGTGGTACCTGGGCAGCATTCGCACACCCGCGCAGCCAAGCGGGATAATTGAATTGATTAAAAATTTCCTGGCAGCTGTAAGTGAATGCTGCACAGTTGACGATGATCGTGCAGATCTCTATGATTTCAAAGGAGACTGCAGTATCTCGAAATCGAATAGATGACAATATGTATCCGCAGTAGTCGACCGGCGAGACAGAGCACAAAGCAACGGTGAAGGTGAGATGCGCAGTGTTCTCCTACCTTATCAGAATCACACTACTTGTCACAAAGTGAGGCTCCCTCAGTCAATCTTGGCAATGAGAGCTTGAGTTCTGCTGCAGTTGGTGGTGATGGAGCTTGATTGGACCACAACATTGCTCACTTGAGTGAACGTGCAGCAGATGTAGTTTTTCGCGCTAGCGCATTGCCAAGACTGTGTGTCAAGTGTCGACCTGCCTTGAGCTCGAGCTTCTGAACGCCCACCTTACACGCGGAGCTTCTTACTCGTGCCTGTTGACTTGCACAACCAGGACTCTCCGCAATTTATATCTACAAGCATATGCTGATATATTAACAGCAATTTCACGAGGGAGCTAAGACTTCCATATGGATGGCGCTGACGGCGGTGATTGGTTAAGATCTCCGGATTAAAAATCCGGCCAACCCTGACACCCCGCGAAGGCCGAGTCCACGCAGAGATATCTTGAAACGCAAGGAGGCGTCTCTTGAAAGGCTCTCGGTATGTTGGGAAAGAGGGGATGAACGATACGGCTTTCAGCACGAGTCCATATATAGACATAAGATGCAGAAACGAGTTGCTAAGAAATGCCCTAAGATACTGCAGCCTCATTTTGGGGGTGGTTGCTCGCCAAAACCAGCCGCAAGGAATCCTCCTTCCCGTCGAACAGACGAAGTCATGCCCCAGCCACTTGATATGTAAGGTTCCCGAGAGCATCGTCCCCATTTGGTGAATTACTATGAATCAGCACAGTTGCACGCAGGCTCGGTGATGGCAACTGCTCAACCACGTGCGTCGGCCGACCTCGCATGAGCAAGGCTTGATGGCAAATGTCAAATCCCATGTCATTCAGCATCCGCTCGACAAAAATCCGCGGCTCAAGCCAAGGAATGCAATTCGGGACGACAGGGCAACGATGTCAAGTTTTCGCTGGGAAGCTGGAGGGCGGGCAGATAAGAATTCCACTGCGGGTAAGGCGCTCTGCACATGGGATTCGCCGTGGTGGATGCTGTCAGATGCCCTGTCTAACACAACAGCTGTGAGCGCTAGGCAGCACAAGGTTTCTCAGCGCTAAGTCTAGATCTCAATCGACGAAACCTGAGGAGTACCGTTGGTCGTGGAAGGGGCATTTGGCTAGGGTGTGGTGGTGCAGCACGCGCACACTTGGGGCTGCACTATCACGAACATCGCCTCTCGTTTCGACGAACGGGACGCTGCAGCACAGTCGGCACGATTATAAGTAGCTATCGTGTGTTCAGAATTAGCGTCTCTGAGCAGAGTGGCAGGAACAGAGGGCCGAACAGATGAGCCGAGGATGAAGTCTCTGCTGTGTATCATTCGCGTCTGCGCCAGGATCCGTACAAAAGCTCAGGTCACAGGAATCTCCTACCAGGCAGAGAAAGCGTACCAGAGTACGGGCGCGAGGGTTCTTGGTTTGGTTCACCGCAGTTGAATCGCCCGTTGGTCCGTCAGTAATAGCAAGGATCCACGTGTCGTTCAAGATGCGAGTGAACGATGCATGGAATCAGATCAATGCCAACAAGTCATGCTCGAGCTGCACGCTGATTATTGACAGAGGCTAACCTTTCACACGCGGCCAGCAAAACAAAGTCAGACCATATCGCTCGGTGTGAAGTGAGGATGTGCAGCAGAACCTTTGCAGCAGAGTCTGGCCTTCTGCAGACCCTCTAACGCACGGGCGCATTGTTTCTAAAACGACTACGAGCCGCGCCCGTTGGTTGGCGCACCATTCACGCTCCTGCAGGAAGCTGCACAACACCCACCCTTCCGCAGTGCGCTGTTTACTGCGCGTTCGTGCCCAAGACAGTCGCTCACTCATCTGTTCCACTTGGGCCATCGCGATCCGTTCATTCGTTTGCTGCCTGTCACCACAGAGATACCCTTTGCCTCTTCACAGTCCTCCGCTGTCACGCCCCGCCCTCTTACGGTCTTGGCATATACTTCCACCCCTCAGCAATCGTGAGCATCGATCAGACTAGGTGCAAGTGGAGCCACGGCCTTACCCATTTGGTTGTCAGATCTTTCAGCCACGTTTCGCCTCTACCTTGTCACCCTCCTCGCCCAGAGTAGCGTGACCAGGCCGATTGCGATCAGACAGCGCCAGCGGCGAGAACCGTCGAGGTCACTGTCACCCTGGACATGTCTGACACTCAGTTCTCTTCTGGTGGTGCCAAACTCATGGACACGCAGGAGCAGTACGCTGCAGCCGCACTTACCTCTCCTGCCATTCCTGCGACACCGGACGAGGGCACGGTTTCTTCTTTCCCCGGAGCTCGAGGACGTGCCGACGTACCCATTAACGAAGAACGTCATTCCTTTTTTGATGCTTCTCTACCACAGCCCTTCCCGCTACCTTCCGTCTCATCCCAACCTTTAGCGACGCCAGCCCTGGACGACCAACCTCACCTAGATCTGAGCTTTGCTGGAACCTTCTTACCGACTGCTGTGTCACTGCCCTCTCCCACGCTGGCCAGGACAGCACCCAACTTCCGTTTACCCTCGTTTGACGTCCTAGGTATTGCTGCGCCCCACCCTGATCGTATCCCGTTACACTCAACATATTCCTTTTCGTCACTGGGCGCCGGACCTTTATCGAAACCAGAAGATCCTCTCCATGCGCTCAGCCCACCATTGGAGTTTCGCCGTCAAGCCGACAAACCTGTCCATCCTCCCGTTGCCAGCCCGAAAGCTACCAGAAAGCAGCTGGAACACCAGGTTCCGACCTTTACTCCTCCGTCGGAGCCGGGGACGTTCAATTGGGGCTCGCTCGTAAGAGTGAACACAGCTGGTGCAGGTTCCCCACCGAGCTCAGAACCTGGAGTATCGCCAAATCTTACCCTCACGGAAAGTGCGACGGCGCCAGGGCAGGCCACGATCATTGTGCCCACTTACGCGGAAGAAATAAGCGAGGCGGTTAGGATGGCATTTTGGGTTCAGAACGTCAAAAACATCCTCAGTAAGATCTACAATCGTGACCCCGCAACGTCAATTTACTGACCATTGCTAGCCACCGAGTCAGAAACCTTGGACCTGGCCCAAGTAAAAGTACTGTCGCATGCCCTTCCTTGCCCTTCATTGACAGGTCACCTGTTCGGCCAAGTCATCGCAGCTATTCACGACAGGACCAACTCGCATACGTCCTGGATCAACGTCTTCCATGCCGTTCCTGGTCGCTTCACGCTCTCCGATCTACCCAAATCGCCGCCGTCGACCCCCGGACCGGTTGTAGGAGGAGATGAATACTTCACTTCGAAGGTCTTCGATAGCGCCGTTGCCATCCCCGATTACCAGCTCGACTCGAAACTTCTTCCCCAATCTCCGCGACCAGTCGTCCCACCAGGGAGTATCAACATTTCGATAGTCGAGCGATATATCCCTCCTACTAATTACAATGAGTACGCTGAGATGTTTGCGTTCAAAGGGCGGTCGCTGTTGTACGATCGTCTGGTGGAGCTCTCGCCTAATCATGGCACGCTACTATTTGTATACCCAACACGGACCGGTGGGCGGACTTTCATGAGGGACTACCTAGGGCCAATTCTCGATCCACTGCTACGGACGGTAACGGTCATCCATGATCTCACGTCTGATTTGGGCAAGAACCTCGGCTCCATGACTTCCGTGGATTACCTGGACGAATACGATCAGCTGGCGGCGCATGTTGAGAAGTTCTGCGAGAGACTCAACGGGAGTGGGTCAAGTCGCCGAAGTATTAGCGATCAGAAAGCGACATACGAAGTGATAAAGGCTTCGAAAGAAGAGATGATGCTGGAAAGGTCAGCATGGGCGGACGACTGGTGGATCAAGCAAGAGAAGCCTAGGGTTCGTGACGTGGTCACGAAATATTTCCGGAAAGCGGCACGACTACCCACTAATACTGAGATGACGAGCGCGCTCCTTATCGAGGAAGTACTGAACGGTGTTTCGAATCGCGAGTACTTAGGCGGAGGCCCAAAGAAGGGCGTTGAAGTCGGCGTCTTCATCATCAAGAAGTCACGGTCCACATAGCACGTGAACCTGACTCTACCGATACGACCAAGACTGAGAAGGGAGGGGTCGAGCAGCGGCATGAGTAGTGGGATGTTTAGCCTCACGGAGGAGTGTGAAAGCCCTTCATGATAGCAGACGAGAGGGGCTCCCTCTGACGACGGAAAGAAAGGGATGTGTTACGGCGGGCATGGCGTTACGACACAAATTTGTGCATGAAAAAGCAACTTCGCGATACCCTTGTTCGCATTGCATGGCGTGGCGTTCTTTCGAATTACGATCCGCATTCGGGTTAGGCATGGTACGCAACAGATGGAATATAATGTTAATCGTTCACTCTTAGGCCAGCAAGTTGCATCACTTGAGACTCAGCTTATCTGACTTTCACCCTCTGCAGGGAAAGTCTTGGAAATATGGAAACGATGCGTCATTCCTCTCGTAGAACTAATGTGTGCAACGTCGAAGCAAACCACACTCTCATCATCAAAGGCCGTCTCAGACATACAGTCGTACAAGTACAAATAGCCGCCCATGCATGCAAGAAGAAGAAGAAGAAGAAGAAGAAGAAGAAGAAGGAAAAAGTCAAAAACATCCCAGACGCCGTTCAATGAAGAACAACCACCCAATGTATCCCAAACATTCCTTCCAAGCGCCAAATACCGAAAGCTAAAACTCATTTACCCTCACGGCTTCTTCAACAATCCCCCAAACAACCCTTTCAACCCCCCCTCACTACTCTTCTTCTTATCCCCCGTCCTGGCACTCCGCCTCTCCGTCTCGCTCCTCCGTGCCCTCGGCCTCTCATCACCATACACCTTCGCACGGCTCCGCTCGGCCTGCACGCGGCGACTGACAGGCCGCTCACCTTTGTCCGAGCCAGGCGCGATGCGGCGGTTGCGATTGGGACGCTCGTCGAGGATGGAGACGCGTCTTGTGTGGCGGCGGTCGCGGCGTTCAGAGCCAGAGCTTATGCCTAGGACTGCAGCAGCGTCGTCGGTGTTGTATGCGGGCAAGTCGGTGTCGATGACCATAGGCTCGGGTTCAAGATCGGGTTCTGCGTCTCGTTGGCGTTCGACTTCCATTGTTGCAGTCTCCATCGTAGCGACAGACTTAGGAGGCGGTGGGGGAGGAGGGTCGTAGATTGGGGGCTTTAGGGAGACTCCGCCGTCTCGGGCACCGGACCTTTCGTGATCTCGTGCTCGTGCGGCTCTTCGCTCTTCCTTGTAGCGGTAGTACTCTGCTTCCTCTTCGGCTGACTTGAACCGGTGGTGATGGCCATGTGAGTGTCGGCGACTGCGGTGGGGACGCTCGCCTCGTTCGCGACTCTCGTTTGAGGAGTGGTTGCTGCTCGAGTGATGTTCCCTCTCTTTTCGTAGGGTAGTGATTGGAGCACCGACAACCTCAACAGGCTCAGCTCGAACACGAGACTTGGGAGTGACAGGCTTCGAGGGAGGTGTGGCAGGCTCCGTCTTTGAGCGACCGAAAAGGCCGCCTAGAAAACTCCCACGCTTGGGTGTAGGCGGTGGAGGTTCACGGGTACTCATGCGACGACGAGGTGTGGTTCGTGGTGACTCGGCAGCCTCTGGTGCAGGGCTGGCTGAGTCTTCTTCTGCTGCACGGCGTGCGGCGTCACGAGGGACCTCAACCTCCCTGCGTCGAGGTCTCGCCGCCTCGAGCTTTTCTTTCTCCCTCTCCGCGCGTCGTTGCCTCCTGGCGCTCTGCGCTTCCTCTTCGTCCCGTACAGCTTGCTCTGCTTTCTCCTTCTCCAAACGCCTTGCGTCCTTCTCGGCTTCATGACGTTTTCGTCTCTTCTCATGCCGAATGCGTCGTGCTTCCTCCTCTTGAGCTATTCTGTCTGCTTCCAGTTGCTTAAGCTGCTCTTCTTCCGCTTGCTTCAATGCTCGACGCTGTTCCTCCTCTGCTATCTTCGCAGCACGACGTTGCTCACGACGCTGCTGTCGTTGTATCTCCTGCTCCTGAAGCCTGGCCGCTGCCTCCTCTTCCGCTACCTTCGCCGCGCGACGTTGCTCACGACGCTTTTGTCTTTGCACTTCCTCCTCTTGTTGAAGTCTTGTCGCCTCTTCCGCGGCTAGTTGCTCCTTTTCAGCACGGCGAGCTTCGCGCCGCTTCCTTCGCTCAGCATCTTCGTCCACTACAGGCTCAGGAGTGCGTCGTTTGCTGTGCCTGTCTTCGGTTCTGCTCTCCCGACGAGGACGATCAGAAGGATACTCTGGATATGCTGGCTCTCGGCTGTCGCGGTGACGGTGAGATCGGTGTCCGGGATATTCGGGCTCCCTAGATAGGCTACTTTGTAATTCTGCCTCTTGAACTCTTGGCTTGCTTCTGATGGTGTCACGGTCGGTCGTGCTATCACGACGTTTGGTCTTGGGAGATGCAGAAAGCTTCGTAGCAGCTAGCACAGCAGCTCCAGAGAAGTTTGGTCTCTCTCTGGTACTCGCATCGCTTGCATGTCTGCGGTGGGAGTGATGTTTGCTCTCACGACGCGAATGGGAGTGCCGCCGATGGTGTTTGTCTCGAGGCGACTCGGCAGCAGAGTCGTCCACCACGGCAAAATCCCGTGTTTTGGGAGCTGAGTCGAAAACAGCTTCGGTTGCAGTGGAAGGTTGTGCGGTTACAGCATCAGCTGGTGGCGCAGGATCCAAGGACTTCACCACCTCGATCGACTCGACTGAGGGCTGGCCTTCCGGAAGGATCAAGGGTGCCTCAATGATCTCTTCGAACTTTGGAGGTGGTTCAGGAACAGGATCATCAATTGACTCTGCGACGGCTACTCGGGCGGTCTCTTCTGGAAGGTGTTGCACCTCAGGGGCTGCAGGAGTCTCACTGACGTGCTCCTCGCTGATAGGGTCAATATCAGTCCGCTCTTCAAGTGCAGCTTCTGCAGGTGTGGCTTCGGTAGTTAGTTCTTCCGGAAGGACAGCTTCATGAGGCGAAAGGTCTTCCACAGCGGGCTCAGTAGCAGCTGCTTCAGCAGGCGTAGCTACAGGCTCTGTAGGTGCGGTCTCGATGGGTAGGGTGTCGACAATGCTAGGCACAGATTCAATGGGCTCTTCTAAGGCTGATTCTTCAGCAGAAGGTTCGACAGATGCAGATTCCTGTGCGAGGTTTTCAGGCGCAGATTCTTCAGAGGCTGGCGTCTTGGAAGCAGGCTCATCGACAACAGGCTCTGCAGCGGCAGGCTCCACGATTGTAGCTTCCACAGGTGCAGCTTCGGTTGTCGCAACTTCGGAAGGGGCAGGCTCTAGGGAAGGAGGCTCGACAGGAGCTGTTGCAGCCTCAGCCGCTTCGGCAGGCGTAGGCTCGACAGCATCAGGCTCAGATGTATCATGTTGCTCGAAATCTACTCCAACAGGAGCTTTCTCATCGGGAGCCACCTTATCATCAGATGCAGCAGGAACAGACTCTGCCACTGGAGGTGCAGGTTCAGCAGGTGCTACCTCTGCCAGGGCGATCTCTACGGGCGCAGTAACAGGCTCGATGGACGCCTCGTGCTCCGCCTCGCAAAGCGAATTTGGTTCGACTTCAGAGGACTCTGGCGTTGATGCAGTAGTGGCATCCTCTTGAAGGACATCCTCTCCGGTGGTAGCCTCAACCACTGTGGGCTCACTTGGTGGAAGTTCAACAATGCCTTTTGATCCCGCAGGCGTGGTGACCGTAATAGCTTCAGCTTCTTGTGTAGCCGGCGCTTTGTTTTCTTCTACAGGTACCTCAGCTACCTCAGCTACCTCAGACAATTCTGTTGCAGCAGGGCTAGCAGCCTCCTCTGTCGCAGCCGCAAGCCCTTCGGCTGCGGCTTCAACGATTGTTGGTGGTTCTGAGGTTTCTGAAGGTACAGGATCTGCCACTTCTTGTTCGATAGGCGTATCTTGCGTAGCGACGTCCTCTGTTGATGCGTCTGCCATTAGGACGATTTCTGCCGTGGCCTCTGCGGTAGCAGAATCCGGAAGCACATCGCTAGTGACATCAGGCTCCGGTGTTGACTCAGTTTGCATCTGCTCGGCGTCGACTTTAGGTCCGGCTTCGGTTGGGGCAGAGGGTTCATGTTGCTCTTCGATCATAACCTGCTCGGGCGGTGCTTGCTCCGGCACCGCTACCGGTTGCTGCTCAACGTCTACATCCGGACCAGACTTGTCTGCAACGTGCTCACTAGCTTCGCTTGGTGAGTCTGTAGCTGTGATTTCATCGTCACCGTCACTGAGAGACTGTTGTGCTAGAGGTTCATCCGTGGCTAGAGCGATCGAAGCCTCTGGGACTAACGCTACTGCTGGCTCTGTCAGCCCTTGCGACTCATCGAAAACAGCTTGACTCTCTGTGACTGGCTCTACTATTGGCTCCTCAGAAAACTCGCTTGCTTGAGCATCAAGTGCTACGCTAGGCTGCGATTCATCTTTAGCCTCGGTGAGATTTGGGTCCAGATTGGTCGCTGTAAGGTTTTCTGGCGCATCGTTGGTGGCATCTGGCACGCCCATCTCCCTGGTGCTGTCTTCATCTGTCCCAGTGTCCTGACCAGACTGGTTGGCGTCAATTTCCTCGGCTACTATGGATTGTTCTTCGGTGGTTTTCTCAACCTGCACCTCAAGCTGTAATGCAGATGCTTCAACCTGAGAGGTGTCGGACGCAGAAGAGAGCTCGCTCGATGCTTCCACTGCCGATGTTGCTTCTTGGTCAGGTTCTGGTGTGTCTGCCACTGTAGCCTCGGTGTCCGCTGCAGACTGTGGTGAAACATCGTCAGCAGCAGGTGCAGCCCCGGTTACTTCAGTGGGTGGATGTTCCTTGTTCGTTTCCTGGTCTGGTGTATATGACGGTGCTAGTTCCGACACCGTATCTTGCTCGGTAGGTTGCACCTCGTTCACAATTGCCACAGCCACTTCGGGCTCGAGACTTTCAGTTTCGGCAGCAGGCTCTACTGGGTCAGTCGGAATGATTGGAGCTGCACATTCAGCATTCGTGGCATCGTGTGAGTCAGCCGATTCCGAAGTCTCAGTTGAGATTATGCTTACTTCGCCGAGATGCTGTTCTGACTCCTCAGGAATAGGAGGCACAAGTTCAATGGCCTGCTGAGCAGGAGCGGTATCTGGAATCGATTCTGTGGGTTCGATAGGTGCCTGATCGGTGCTCCCTCCAGCATCTGTCGCTTCTGTTTCAGGTGCGGCATCCTGTGTTTGCTCGGTCAATGCCGCATCAACCTCAGGTTTC